GCCGCGAGCTTAGAGTGGATCCACATACTCGCAACAGTTAAGCAGTCATCTCTCCGGTCACGTCGTGCCGACCACTGGGAGGTTCTACTATGGGACTCATCCGACTAGCGGTTAACCATCGACGACGAGGAATGAATGACGATGAATGAGGGAGTGAATTGGTAAATGGGAAAGTAGTAGGACCTTCAAATGGTGGTACAATAAGCCGCAGGTAAAAAAAAGAAATCTCATTTCCCAATTTTTATTTATTTATTCATTCCCTTATATGAAGCTTGATTTTTACCAAACATTTCATGTTGATATCGCTTTTGGGTTTTGATTATTTTTTTTATTCCAACCCCCCTTGACCACCATTTTATTATATAGCATGATTTTTGCCAAAAATTTGATAAATCGAAAAATCAAAAAATCGAAAAAGAAATTCCGTAACGAAAATAAACCTAACACCCTCACTCCGACCGGCACAGCGGTGCGGCGTTGAAAGCCGTGCATCGTCTAACGTCGTTTCAGTTCGGCACGGTGTTTGTGTGCGTGCGACTAGACGTATGCGTGTAGACTAGCTGCTAACTGATTCTATCTCTTTTAGACACAATTTCGAAAAAATTGAATTTGAAAATGAATAATGATCCACAAGAATCCACAACAAAATATGGGACCACCATTGACGCGGTATTTTCCAGATATTTAGAGGATATCAAGTCTCAAACTTATGTTTCTTATTTCAGTTACCATAAACCTATAGTTTCAATGATACAAATTCCTGAATAACCTACATGCATTGTAAGATAATAAAAATATTTTAAACAATATTAACTTCTCATTTATTCAATAAAAGAAACAAAATTGTTTTCTTATCGGTCACCACGCTAAAAAAGTGTAACTTGAATTAATATCAAAGAAAAAACTTGAATTAATATCAAAGAAAAAAAAATACTGCATAAATAAAATAAATAATTAATTATAATTGCATAAGTTGATAAAAAATGCTATGCAATAGCTTTACCGCGGCAGTCCCCGAGTGCCACAAGTAGTTTTTAATACAAATTACATCAAGGTCTGTGCAATGAAAAACTGCAAAAATACTAATCATTTTTCTATATGTCATTTTTCTCATGTGTCAGCAACCAACGTGCTGATTGGTGACCCCAGACTTGTCAAAAATACCACAGACCAATAGGGAAGAGGTACCGAGGTCATTGAGATTTGAGCCGAAATTTAACATGGGGAAGTATAGGGAGTGACAGACCTGTGCCTGTACGGTTAAATGTACAGAGTGGAAAGTCTAACTGAAACAAATTCTGTAATATAACGATTTATCGTAAAATTCCTGAAACATGTCAATTACCTATTTTTTTATTACTTTTTATAAGCAATGTGTCGGAAGAAAAGGTTTACTAAACCTACTTTAATATATTTAATTAGGCTTAACGCCAAAATGTTCGGCATGCTTTTTATTATCAACTAGGGTATTGTCAGCAACAAGATGGAGGATACTTTGAATAATCCACTTACTCTTTTATAAACAAAGTTGGGGGTTGCTGTAACTAAGGGTGGGCAAAAAAATCGATTGATTAGTCGATTAACTCTTTAAAAAAATCGATTATTTCGATTATTTCGATTAATCGATTATTTTGATTAATCGATTATTTTAAATAATCGATTATTTATTTTGATGATTGCCCAGACCTAGCTGTAACATCCACGATAATTAAAAAAATACACCTCTTTGTAATATGCTCCATTGAGAATAAAAAATTATGTTTCAGGAATTTTGCGGCAAACCTTTATTAGGTTTCATAATTTGTGGAGAGCGTTTTTATTCCGTTGTTGACAGAGATATAATTTTAGTTTGGAATTTTTTAAACAGTAACACTCTTCTACTTTGCCATTCTGGTTTGGCTTTAAATCGTAGGTACCTTTTATACTTGTACCATTTTTATGCACACCGATTATTACCTTTTTTTTAAGAACTTAAACTAAATTAACTTTAAATAGGTAATCTAACTTATATATAGTTAGTTATTATTATTGTTATATACTCTACTAAATAATTATTGTTAATAAATCTTTATCAAATATTCAAGGGTAATATAACGAGACCTTGATAAATAGTCGACTATTTTTATTGTTTCTAAATTTTGAGTGTTTTTGATATCAATCTGTCGAGACATAATTTTGTCATTCTATTCTTTGATTATTAATGACAATATTATGCACGAAAAATTTAGTAGCAATAGAAATTGGCGCTAATTTATTAAGGTTGAGTTATATTTTATGAGATTATTTCTAGACTCTTAAATTAATAAATACACAATAAAATAAATTTTATTTTCGGTTCATTTTGAAACATTCCAAGAGATATTAGCTTGTACTTAGCATGGATAGTCGATTTAAAATAGTCAGTGAAAATAATCGATTTATTTGCTTTTGATTGATTCTAACGATAACGTAAATTGCGATGTTATTGGTTAAAATAACAAAGTTGACAGGCGAGGGAAATAATCTAGACCAGCTATTCTCAACCGCTGGTCCGGCGGACCATTAGTGGTCCGCGGAGAAATTTTACTGTCACGCAATTTACTGTCCGCAACAAATTTACTGGTCCGCGGGCCAAAAAAGGTTGAGAAACGCTGATCTAGACTATACTATATCTATTGTGTATTATTGAGACATCCTACATTATTTACAATTATCCACAATTACCGAAAAATATTAGTCACTATTACGTAAATTTATTTTAGCTATAAAATAAATCAAATGCAGGAATGTATACATTGAATTCTCTGATTTAATTGTGTGAAGACTAAATATAAAATTATAAAAAGTCTTATTAAAAAAATATATTTGTTCAAATTAATTATGTAATAATTAGATATTAGATAACAGGCAGTTTCGTTTTTCTAAATATTTATTGCAGTGTACATATTATATTTATCTAAAATGGCTTATATCTCATTTCCAAAACGAATACGTACAGGGCGATAAGATTTTTGTAAACAATTTCGAGGATAAGATTAGATTTTTAAACAAACGGTTCAGGGTTACGAAAATATCACAAATTGCATTTTTTGATAATTTGAGCTTGAGGAAATATTGTATTAAATTTTAATAGTATTAATATGAAGTTCTTCATCGATTTCCACAATACAATTTCTATTTTTATTAACGACTTGCCTCAGTATATAGATGCAAATACGGTCATTTTATTTGCTGACGATACGCAGAATATATACACTTGACTACTTAAACTATTGTTCATATTATTTTTTTAATTTTACCGTTTAAATTCCAAATTTAAAACTACGTAAATTATTAATATTATTATTAATATCAATATTATTATTAAGAATATGTTAAAAGTTTTTATTTGAGGGTATGCAAAATCAAAATGGTCGAACTTGTGTATCATTTTATTAACAAAAAATAGTTAAAATACATTTAATGTAAACTAACATATTCAGCATTGTACGTAATTTGAACACAAAAATGTAAAAAATCTGACAGGGAGATAATTTACTTAGTAAACGAACGTAGACACAATCTTGGTATAAATCATGGACGATCGCACAAATGTACCATGATTATATCAAATACGTAATCAACGACTTGTAAATACAGGGTGTTATTAAAATTATTAAACATATCAAAAGTATTAACATTAAATTCTAAAATGTAAATATTTTGTAAAGTTATCAAATATATTGAGTGCGGCACATTTATTTAATCAAAAAGTGTTTAGAACATGAAATAAAGATAAAAAAATTCCACACACATTTTATAAGAAACATTTTTTCATATCTTCATCGCCAAAGAAAATACTGAAAAATTAAAATGTTACACTTTTCCTAAAATTTCTCGATTACAGTCCATTTTAGAGAAATCATGTATAGAACAAAAATTATAGAAAATTACTCACAAATCTCCGAAAAGGTTGTCCCATATTTTTACTTTTATTTCAAATTTTTCTGCATTATATCTTTTTCAGCTGTGTTATACAACTAGAAGTCCCTCCCGCGGGGCAAACTTGAGCGTTTCAGCTCAATGTTTACTACCTTAATTTGTCAGTGTTTCATTGTAGTTAGTTCCCTATTTTATATACCTTAACCTCAATGTACTATCATAATTTTCATTACTCATAAAATCAACAACGGTGGAGATTTTTCAACCCCCTGATCACACAGCAATTCATTCTGTAACACAAAGACACCTTTTCAGGAAAATGATTTTGTTCCTCGATTCTACATAGACGAACACTAGGGGATCTGAACAGTCGAGCGATACCATAAATCCTCTGATTTTCTGAACATAAACATAAACAAATACACTTAGGAATAAAATTATGTTTGTCCTTATTTTAGAAAATGATAAAAAACCCTGGGACACATCAACTTCTAAACTAAATTGTACGTTCTCCGAACGAATATATAAATATACAGGGCGATTCGTGTAAGTCTAGCACTGTCGGTATTTTTTTTAATAGAACACCCTGTACCATTTTATATTTTTGAAAACTCCTTACTAAGCTGATTTCAACGAACTATTATGTTTATGGTCTCTGAATAATACAGGGTAAAATTTTGAAAATATTAAAATTAGTATTATTATTATTATTATTATGCTTTAAATATTGTTAATAATTAGTCACAACACAGATTTATCTAGAGTAAGTATCAACGTGAACTTCAACATTTTTTGTCCAGAAAAAGTAAAAACTACCTAAATAATGACAAACCAAAGTGGTAAATTTGTTATCTGTTACTTGTAAAATTGTTGGTGTATTGACATTGTACATTAAAATATTAAATTCCTTATTGAAAACTTATTTTGCTTGATTAATAATGAAATATTTAAATGAAATTAGTCGAATTGAAATAATAATGATGATCGGTTATGGGGATAATTGCAGCGGCAAACCTATTAAATCAGAAACATCATCAATTGCCTAATATTTCACAAGGTATTGTGTCTAGAATCCATGCAAAATTCATAGAACTTCCGACACGTCAAACCATTTAAAAGAAAACCGCACTTCGTAGAAAAAGATGGGTATTTTGGTTCAAGTGAATCTTACATCAAGTACACATCACATTACCCGTCAAAGTAACGTCAATCATGCAACTGTTTTAAGGTGTCTCTATAAAGAAAAACTTCATGCATATAAAATAACTTTTACTCAGAAGCTAACAGAAGATGATCCTGATCGTAGGATGGAGTTCTGCGAAATGTTGATGGAAAATCTGGACAGAAATGAGATAGATATTGATACCATTCTTTTTTCAGATGAGTTAACTTTCACATTAAACAGAGATGTAAACCGGCAAAACTGTAGATGGCTAATTCTCAAAAAAGGTGGAAAATGGCTTTAAAAAACTTGTCAAATTAGTTTTAACAAAACATCTTTTCTTTAACCGTCCGCTCTAATGCATGTTATCGAGGCCAATATTGTAAACTCCAAAAAAAAAATGAAGTGGTGCTTGGTAGGCCTTTTAATTTCGCTCCAATCACACTGTTTCAAAATGGTAAGGGAATTTTTCAATAAAAAATTTTGAATTATATTTAAAAATATTTCCATTCGTATTTTTTAAACTATTAAACTATTAGGTAGTCAATACTATCTTATATAAGTAAAAAATAAGATAAAAAAACAATTAGTAAGGAATTTTACGTTTTAAGTTAATAATTATCTTCAAATTTAGCAGTTGGGACATAGTGAGGGAATGATTTTCAGGGTACTTTCTTGAACATATCTTTTTTGTTTATCATATAAGAAATAAATGTGTTTCATAAATTCGTATATCTAGTACAGTAGTTTTATTTAAAAAAAAACTTTTCATAATAGACCTGGTTTATAGAAATCATTAAGGACATCAATTTCGATTTTTTTTTTTAGAATCAGCCATATATTGGTTGGCGGAGAATCCTCATTGCATAAGTGAGACACATACTACATCATAGGTGACCATATTATTGGTCCGTTTTTTATAGAAAGAAATTTGACAACCGAAAGATATTTAAATATGATTTGTTGTTGTTTCTGTTTTGGCTAACTCATATCTAAATGCAAGAGATCGGAGATTGCCGAATGAAAATGTTTGGTTTCAACAGGACGGGGCAACACCCTATTATGCTGCAGATGTAAGAGGTTACCTAAACGAAATATTTCCCAATAAATTGATTGGACGAAAAGGTACTATTAGTGGCCAGCTAGATCACCACATCTTACGCCATTGAATTTTTTATGTGGAATTATCTCAACAATAAAGTATATGCAACACAGCCAACTAGCCTTGCAGATCTCAGAGAAAGGATAACAAGAGAAATAAAGAATAGTTCACCTCAAATTTTAAATAATTTTAGGCAGGAGTTTTATAACAGATTGGGTTGTAGTCAAGAATTAGGTGAAGAACATTTTAAGCATTTACAAATGAATCAATTTTATGTATTTATTTTCATAAAGGAAATAATAAATAATTTCAAAATTTCACTCTGTATTAGCAGCTTTTAAAAATACATATAGACCATAAATATTATTGTTTGTAGCTTATTAAGGAGCTGTCAAAAATATAAAATGATACAGGATGATCCACTGAAAAAAAAAGAGTACCGATAGTGCTAGACGCGTGAATCACCCTGTATATTTATATTTTAGTTCGGAGCACGTACAATTTAGTTTAAAAGTCGACGTGTCCCAGCGTTTTTTATAATTTTCTAAAATAGGGCCAAAAATAATTTTATTCCATCTGGTTTCCACACTGTATATAATGTAATTTCATATAACAATTTAAATAATATTCTTCTTTCGGTACGTCCCAATTCAGATTTAGGCGTGTCATTTTTAAATCACACTGGTGGTTCTTCTAGGAACAGACATTATCCATTTTACTGTCGATGACGAACCTTACACATATAATTGCTTCTCTCAAGTATTCACAAGCCAAGCTGCCCCGGGAAATATATTTTTATTGCTCTACGAATTCAACTAACACAACGTACTCAAATTTGAGAATTATTACTCACCTGTGCTGAAATGACACAGAGTTGAGCCGAGGGTACCCATATCGAGTAGTAAAGTTGAGGTCGTAGCAAAAGTGTCCTCTCCAGTGCGCGCTTACTCCCTCTCGCCCGACGTTAGTTGAAAAGATGAAATTACTGTTAAGTCTAGTTCTAGAGTTATATTATAGTGGTTCTTAGTTCAGGCTTTTCATGTATTAAACAAACAGCGACAGTGGTAGTATACAGTTCGTATGCTAAGCACTTCATTATTACATAAACATAGACGCGGTTTTTTATATGTTACGCAGGTTTTTAGTAACTCAATTTATTTTAACTCAACTTCTACAATAACTATACAACTGATAACATTAACATATAACGTCTATTATAAAACTGACTGACTGACGTCAGGATCACCGACTTATATAACTCAATTTAACCTTCTAGAACAGCCATACTCAACCTGCGGCCCGCGGGCCACATGCGGCCCTTCAAGCTGTTTTGTGCGGCCCTCCAATCTTTTTTGTGCGGCCTCAAATACGAATATTAGTAATTGAAATGGTTGACCTGTCCTTGAGACTTTCCAACGCTTATTAAAAACTAAAACAACTAAAACAGGAGCCTATTTCATAAAACTACTTTGCAACTTTTCACTTTTTGCATTTTGCATATTTTAGTAAATTTATGTTCCATAAAAGAGACATTTGACGAGTTAAAAAGTAAAATTTGAAAAGCAATTTGTAAAGTGGAAATGAATAATTAATAATCTGCAAAGATATCGATATTATTTTATGAAACACAAGTATTTTGCACACGTAAATTTGCAAAGTGAAAAGTTGCATATGAAATAGGCTCCTTGACCCTGTTTTTTAGAAAGTATGGAAACCAAAACAATATGAGGAACCTTGTTTTCTTCTATTCTTTTTAGAAAATATTTAAAGCGGATCCCTATCTTTACCCAGTGTCCTTTATTTGCATTTCAAAAAGGTGGTAACTCTAGTTATCACCCAAAAATGTGTAGCATAACAAACAGATTTATGTGGCCCGAAAAAAAAAAAAAAAAGATTGAGTACAGCTGTCTAGAACCTTTCCGAACGTACAGATGTTTCTTGACGTGGAATGACATTTCTCGAATATTCTATCTTCTTTTACTCGTAACTTTACGCGCAGCACGCTGGAGGATGCTGCGTAACATTATTATTGTAATAATACGATTTTGAATTATTTTAAGAAGATAAAGTGTTGCATCATATTATAATCCTCCTCATATTGTGATACCAATGATACCATATCTTATCATTGATTCCACTAATGATTTGTGGACAGAAATTAGCAATTTTTAAGTAAGAAATTTGCACACAAAAAATTGTAGATAAATGTACGCACCTATATTGTTAATGATTGAACCTGTTCATTCCTTTTTTAAATTTAAAAAATATTTGAATTTATTAGTAATTTTTATGACATTTTCATTTAATTCAAAATCAAAAGATGGTCTATTGAAAGTCAATTTTTTTATTAGATGAATTCATATTGTGAGATTTTTCACTAACTCCATCCTAAGTGTTGTCTTCAAAAACAATAACAATTTACTTACGATTTGGGTAATGAATTTAAGTATAAATAGATAAAATTGGCCTGAGCACAGTTCCTTGAGGCACTCTCATTTGAACTGTGTCCTGTTCACTTAAGACATTATTTAATCTATCCAATTAATTTTTTTGGTAAATATACAGGGTGTTTTTTTAATATTGCGAAAAAATTCAGAGGCGTGTTCCTTGGACGAAATGAAGCAAAAAAGTTCCTATGAACATATGTCCTACGCCTCTTAGATTTTGAACTACAGGGTGGTAAAGTTATAAGAAAAAAACGCCAATGGCGAATGTAAAATTTTAAATTGTGTATCGGAAAATGGCTTTGGATGCATAGAAACTGCGTACCACTTTTCAGAAAAATATCTACAGGGGTATTAAATGTATCGCAAAAAATAAGTCTTTTTCTTATAACTTTACACCTTGTAGTTTAAAATCTAAGAGGCGTAGGACATATGTTCATAGGAACTTCTTTGCTTCATTTCGTCCAAGGGACACGCCTCTGAATTTTTTCGCAATATTGAAAAAATTGATTGAAAAATATTGAAAATAATTCTTAAACAGTTCTAATGTAATACCCCCTTACTCCATGCTGCTGAAGGGCATTTAGGCATCTATATATGAATTTGTTGTATATTATAGTAAATTTCAGAAAATATTGTATTTTTTCGAAAAAAAAAAAAATAATAATAATAAATGTATTACTATGTATACAAGGGAGGATTTTTCACCTGAAAATACAAATTTACATTTACCTAGAGAGGGATTGGGTATTTACCTTTTTATACTAAGAAAGTTGCACCTTGTTTCATCTAAGACTTATTTGTCTGTATTTGTATTTTCTTTTTTGTCTTATATCATTTATTCTACGTGCCTAATGTTTGTAGTATTTTAACTTTAACTTGTGCTATACATTTTTTATGTCTTATTATTTTAATAACACCCTGTTTACTTATACAAGAATATCACAACAGGGAATCGTTTTAAAACGCACTTTAAGTGAGCTACTAATGTGTTTTAGCACTGAGGATGGCAGCAAGATGTTTTAAAATCAAATAGTTCATAACTGTATAACAGACCTTAACAATAAATCAATCATTATTATGTCTTCTATATATTCGCACAAGTTTATCTTTATTCAACGATTACCATTTACACGTATTCTGAGTTTCTGAGTCAAGGCTTTTCCTTTATCGTTTAGTTTTGTTAGGAGCGAGGCAAATGTACCCCGCTCTAATATCGAAACCGCTTACCAATAAGTTCATCAACACGCTATCACTCGGTTGCGATACACAAGCGGCTTTGCCGCTATGCAACAACCAATTATTATTATTATTCTTGTTGTTGTCCTTATTATTCGGCCGCCCTTTATTGTGACTGTTCGAAATGAGTTGGTGCAGCAGTTCGGAGGATATTTTTTCTTTGGGTTCGTTACGCGTTTTTTTACTGGCGTACTCGTATATGTTCGTGTTCGAACGTTTCGAACTTTGAACGCCGCGATCCTCTTTATTTAGATGAGTCATTTTGGTAGAGAGATTATTTTGTTCTTGCCACGATTTTCGTATATCTGAAATAAGTTACCTTCAGTTATTATCGAGGTGTAATTGGATAATTGATAAGTCGAGAAAGAAGGAACAAAGGACGAAGATGTATGCGATTATATGATTAAAAGCAAATGTATGAGATTATGTTGATTCCATACAATTTATTAATACGAAATTACTTCAGAACTGACCTTTAAATATTCGAGTTTCCTATGTATTTCGGTATCAGTGATATTTAAAAGTTGTATAGTTAAATCCAGTATTAGAAATCCGAATAATTATTCTATGTTCTTGATCGTTTCGGCCCTTACTTAATGGAAATCCATATTGTTTAAATGAGAAAACATTTTTATTTTAAAAAATTAAAATTAAAAATTCTTTATGACAATTGTTTCGAAGTACAACTTCTTCAAATGTGACTAATTTACATTTCGGTGTCTACTGTATATACAAAGTAAACTAACTAGTTAAAGTACTTAAAAAATATATCAATAACATTCCAATAAGGTATTATCTTTTTTTTAATTTGGTGTCATCGGCATCTACTACTAAGGCCATTAGCGTCGTGTTCTGTGTAGGCTTTGTTACTGTTTCCCAGCGCCACTTTAGGAACAACACTGTTAATTAGAACCTAACAGTGAATGGTCGAGTGGGGAAAGTATTATTAATATTATTATTACCGGGATTATCTCACAGAAAACTAAGAACAAGTAAAGAGATTTAATAAAGAAGAGTTATTATTTAATTTATCATTTAATAGGTTATCTGAATTTTTAAATCTATTTATTTCAAGTGTCTCTAAATGGTTTAATTTAATGCCCTTACTATATGTAAAATCTCAAATTTTCTATGAAATAATGATCTTCAGTCAAAATATGAATTGAAAAAGTTGAATTAGTTTTCTTTTGAATTGTAAAGAATTAAATATTATTACACAAATTGCAGTAAACAATAGTTTTCATTCAAAGTTAGTGGACTTAATTTTAGAGAAAAAACTTTTTAAACATGTTATTCAACAAGTTTCACTCATAATTATTAAAGATCAAAAGTGTAGTCATAAGACTCCCACATATAGGAATCTCCGGTGAAAAGGTATTATTATACTTAAAAAAACCAAAATATTGACGTAGCTTTCAAAACCAAAATAAATCGGGAGTATATAAATTAAATTGTATATTGGTCAAATTGGCCGTACTTTCAAAAAACGCTTTTCAGAACATTACAATAGTTATATTAAAAACAAAAATAATTTTACTTTTTCAAATCATATTTTGGCTGAAAATCGTTATTATATAGAGATGAAAAGAGATGAAGCCATCGATTTGAAATTTGAATAAAAATTGGAGGATAAGAGGGATTGAAATATTTAAAAAAATCCTAACACATAAACGAAAAATGCAATTTTCAGAAAAAATCAAGATCAATGAGGATGAAGCCTATCAATTCTTAAAAAAAAAATGAATAAAAATGTGGGTTTAAGAGGGGTTGAAATTAAAAAAAAAAAAAATCAAATTAAAACCGAAAAGCAATATCCATAAATAATTATGGATGAACTATTGTTTTTAAAAACAAATTTCACTGTCTTCTTAATCTATTATGAAGCCCTTATAGCAAAACTTTTTTTTTTAACAATGACTGACCAAAGTTGATCTTTGAGACTGTATTTCGGAAAAAAACTTGTAGAGAAATATAACAAAATTAATCAGAAAAGTCATATCAAAGCTGTTGGTAACCCTGAAACTGCAGTTCACAATATATTAGCTGGAAGACTCAAAATATACGTCAGCTTTAATATTTTATCTATGCAGAGCACAGAGAGGGACTGCCTGATCCTGTACTTTTTTGTTAGTCAATCATGTATTTTAACAATTAGAACTGAACAGATAAGTCGTTGATTTCTAGTACTGAAATTACTCTAACACAGTTCTGAAGTACATCACTTTTTTTGACATCAAATTATTAGAATTTTGTCGATTCTAAGGGAAAATTGTATGGCGTCAAGAATTAATGTTTCCTTCTTTTCCTAGTTTGATACTCATCGACTTCACTACAAACACATTTTCCAGACTCATTATATTCTAAATAAAGAAGAAATTTATAAATAAATAGTAACTAATAAAAATGACTTACTCTTCATATTGTGCATGTCTTCCAATTCATGCTTCCTCAATAAACCTCCACCGTGATCGTTCGATTTCATTTGTTTATTCAAAGAACTCGACAATAATTGCGCTAAACTCGAATTATTGTTGTTGATGATTTGATGGGACTTTTTGTCATTCGTGCTCCACATTAAATCGTTTGACACCAAAAGCGGTATATCATCGGATATGTTCATAGAGGTATACGGACTTTTTAATAAATCAACATCGTCCATTTGGAGGTTCATAAATGAAGATTGATCTTCGTCTATTAAAGAATCACAAGGGCTGTTCAATGAGGTCAGGCTGCAATCTGAATGCTGAAATAAATGTTCGTTTTGTAGTCAAGTTGACAATCTTATAATAATTTAAATAGTGACACTACTCAAAATTGACATCTTTTAAGTTAGTAGCTTGAATTGATTAGTAAATAACCCTACATCAAGCATTAAAATTGTTTCAAGCTCAGAAAATACTTTTCTAGTTGGTGCTTGTATCATTTTTAAGGTTTTGATGTAGGTTGTTTACCATTCGCATTGATGGTAATAACTCAAAATATGTGAATTTTGAGTTGTGTCACTATTGCAGCAAAGGTGCACCTGGATTCATAATAATGAAGCAAGAATCATTATCTTATCACTGAATTAATTATGATGACATTCATCTAATAATGACCCGATGTTTTAGCGGATATGGTTCTCACCTTTGACAAATTGGGGGATAATAATTGCGGCGATGGATCCTGAAAATCTCTGTAAGCGATGAAAGGATCAGATGGAGCGTCGTTTAGTAAAGGTCCGAAATTATCTCTCAAGAGGATGTCATCTAACATGTCGGGCAGGAACGGATGATCTTCTAATGGTACGCAAACATCTCCAGCAACCGGGGCCAAATGGGTCAAATCTTCCGGTTCGTCTTTTAACACTGAAAAGAAATGTGCGACAATTAAGGAGACAAAAATATACTACATAAATTTAGTAGGTGTTTTACACTATTCAATTTCTTTTCAAGAAATCGATGAGTCGAAGAATTTGCAGTACATAAACATAAAAAAATTACATTGATGGCCAAAATATAAGCTAAAGAATTTTTGGCAGGCTTTGGTATTGTTTCCCAACGCCACTTTAAAACCACTGTTAATAATTAGAACCCAACAGTGAATGATCGAGTGGGGAATTAAACGCATTGTAACATTTACATGCAATAACAGATAATGACAAATAATAGTATTTCTTTTTTCCAAATAAAAAAATAAGTTTTTTGTTAAGGTTACGTATATACGTCAGAGCCCTTAATCTTACGCAAGTACGTAGACGTAACATTACTTGAAATTCAATGTCTTCAAATGGTACATTGGACAGTTAAAACTTTTAGGCCTATTTAACATTTATTTTGAAATATCAACAATGTCATTTATATATTTTATGAGTATTTTAAGAGGTTATGATATTCATGTTTATGTTTTTGACACGATGAATTACATTTTAAAGGTGTTTTAACTCCCCTTAAAATATTACACCAAATCGTGCATAGTACTAAAAAATACACCAGAGGTCGCTAAAAAACGAGGTACTGGGGTGCGTTCATAAATTGAGAGCGTCATATTTTCAATCGTCCGGACAAAATTCGTCCAATAAATACGAACGATACGTCCAATTGTCAAATCAAGTTTTTGGTTATGTTTTATCTGTTATCTGAGATTGTAGGAATTATCAAAAATTAGTAAATAGGTAATTAATCTAAATAAAACATAACATGGACTTTTTTATGTAAAAATTAAATGCATTACCTTTAATTCTTTGCAATAAAATTTTATCATTTTCTATAATGAAATTACCATCAGTCCGGCAAATTTATTTAAATATTTTTTAATCAAAAAGTAAAAATGGGAAATTAAATACTAGGCTAATTAAGGTTATGACATACTGCGCAAGTCGAGTAAAAATTACCCTACTCAACACGGTGGGTAAAATTTCTTTATTTCGATGCGTTTTTCCTTTAAATAGAAACCGCTGAAGTAATTCGTCCAGATAAGAAGTTCCTCATTTAGGAATGCTTTTTAAAGTCTAAACAATGTCCGGATGCGTTTACCCTACATTTCTTAACGCACCCCTGTAAATAAAAACAAAAAATAATTACGGCGAATTGTCAGACAAATTCAGTTAATTTTTGCTTTATCCAGTGAAAAATATGTATGTATCCAATTTTTTTAAAAATAATGGTAATTTATAATGACTACTAATCATATTCTATGTAACAAACGAAATAAAAAGTGAAAACAATGACAAGACAAATACTAACATATACCTTTGATAATAACCCATATTTCATCAAAAGCAAGTGAAGACATTATTATTTTTCATAATTTTTATAGTGTACGAGACAACAATAATTAAATAAGGAAAATAATGTGTATTCTTTCCTACAAAATTGTAAATATTGATTTTGAAAAAATAAATGTCAGGTAATTTGACATTTTCATGTTATGTTTATATGTTTATAACTGCAAGATTTTAGATAATTAATAAACACATTTCAAAGGTAAATACTTATTTTGTTACCAATCCTAAACAATCTCACATGGAGGGATCTCCCAATAGCAATAAAATTTACTTACAAGGCAAACAGTATTTATATTGAACAAAAATGTTAATCTGTAAACCTTAATTACCTATGCATGTGTGTTGTATTAATCTTTGTATTATACAATATGTCTCACTATGGAAAACATTATTATTATTATTATTATTGATTTTGTGAAAATTCTGATAAAAAATTATGCATGGTCCAAAACTTAAAATACAAGCATCTGATATCTATTTTTTTTAAGTATATGAGGTTTCAAAAAATATGATTTTTGCTGAAGAGTAAAGTACTTTTACTGCCTACGTAAGATATTTTAGTTATTTTAGATACATACTTTTTGTTTTCATATACACCTATAATAACTGTCATGCTAAACATGAAACATCAATGCTTTATCTAGCTCTTATAATGGTCAAAGGGTACCATACTTTTTAACGACCTCTGGTGGATTTTTTTTGAATTACGTACTGTTTGGTACCATATCGTCTTTTGTTTTTATATGGGATTTGAGGGAAGTTGAAATACCTATAATAATATCATTCATCGTGGTTTTTGACTGTTTTTATCTTTTCTCCGTCGGTATTTCAAAGAGCAATTATCTCAATGACACATAATCTGTATCAAATTGGTACCACTAAAATTGATCAATATGTTGAAGTATGTTCATTCATCTCCCCAATAAATTGTTCAATCCCTCGATTTATTGATTATAAAACACCTATAATCAAGAAAATATATAAAAAATAAATCGTACTTATCAAATATTTTTTTTTAGTTCTCCTACTCAAAATTTAAAAGCCCATTAAAATAAATCAAAATTAATTGATAGAATACAGTGTATCTATGACCCAATTTAATTGGGTTTTATTTTTTAAACTACGAGTATTAAAGGTCAATAATTCGAACTGAATATAAAATTAACCAAAAATAATAACATATAACAAAAAAAATTTAACTTATAATTTAAAATTGAATTGTTTTTAAGATTACAATTTATAGTGCATTCAATAGTAGACCATAAAACTATTCAAAATAATAGAATTACATTCGCAATTGCATATAAATTAATCTAAAGAGCATCGTGACCCATCTATTATCGTTCAGATATTGTTTACATACGGCTTGATTGTTATGTAAGGTTAGGATTTAGTTATCTTTGTTATTTACGTTGCATAGGAAGTTATTTTTGAATTCCATTACATAAATGAATGAATTTTTCGAGGTTACCAATTTGGATTTTATCCAAAAAAATATTAAATCCAGAATATTTTATGAAAAATATTGATCTAAATTGTACGATTAATTATGCTGACCTTCTAATTGAAATTACAATAATAATTGTCACATTCCGATTCACTAAAAATAGACGTGTTGCGGTTAAATAGGTAATAATTGTCATTATTAAAATTTTTCTACAAAAAAATAGCCTAAATGTTTTATTTAATATTAAAATTAATACAAATTCCAATAATTTTAATTTTTTTATAATAAGTTTATAGAGGTGTCCCAAATACTAATTAATATTAAATATAGTGTATTTTTTATTTATGCATGTTATTTATCTACAATCAATAGTTCCCACATAAAAATTTAACACAACTTGATTAAAATAAATATCAAACTTTTAGATAGATACAATGACCATGGAGGCCATGGCCTCCCCCCCTAGATTAAAATGAGTCTTTTTTTTATTTAGGTTGATCATATGCACAGCATTTTGTGGGTTATCTTAGGGGACCGTGTCCCCCGAAAATTCAGCCTGGAGCAGTCCTTAGGAACAAATAGGAACACCGACTTGTTTAACTCATCAATAAATAAATAGTAATATTAGAAACATACGCGTTCATTTCTTTCCAGAACTTTGGAAAGGAATATGAAAATATTTTTAAAAGTATAAACTAGTTAGTATACACAGTTCAAAGGCGTATTGATGAAACGAGTTATGAAATTGAAAGCATGTGTAATTTTTTTGCATGTAAACGACCTATTTCTCTATACAGCTGGACGAGTCAACCTTGCCTGGTAATGAAGCAAAATATTATTAGCATATGTTGGTTTTATTATGGATGAAAAATACACGAAGAGCTGCTTTTCGCCAAGAACTTTGACAACTGACACAAGGATTACTTCATGGAAAAAGCGATATCTTTATCAAATATCAGTAGCAACGGATGGGGCTTTGCCAAGGTTGGGTGCTACCGTGGAATTGTAAGCCACTTAAAACAAAATGTACCCGGGATGTTAGCAATACACTGTGTTATCCATTGATAACATTTAGTTGCTAAAAGTCTGAGTAGTAGATTTAATGTCTCTTCAATTTGTTATTAACGCAGTAAACTGAACTCGAAGCAACACATTGAATGCGTGATTATTTGCTCATTTGTGTGAAAAAAGGAGAACTTTCATCACTTGCTTTTTCACACTGAAGTACGCTGGCTTTCAAAAGGCTTATGTTTGACAAGATTTTTTGCTCCTTCTAACATTGTTAAAGATCCAATTTTAAACAAAGTTTAATCAGGTGCAAAGCATACAATGCCTATTTATCAGATTTATTCATGAAATTTAATAAGGTTAACTTGCAGTTACTAGGTAACAGCCTAAATTTGATCAAAATAAAGCCAACCATCTCAGCATTTCTTGTCAGAATTAAACTAATGAAGCAAAACAGACAAACTGCCAGGAAGATGACGTTTTAACTTACGTTCAACATTTAAATGCCCTCTATGCAGATTTTTAAATAAGGTTTGAGGATATTTTGAATATGGTATCACAATAGATAATCAAACCATATAGTGACGTTAAAGAAACGGATGTCATATTACAAAATGAACAGATCGGAATAAGCACTAACGAAGAACTTAAGGTATAAGTTAGAAACGGATATCAGCTATTACAGCTTCAAAGAGATATACCTGATACTTATCCTGTATTATGGAATATCGCGAGAAAGTTTTTAATTGCTTTTTCGTCTTCATATTTAATAGAAAAAAGGTTTCAGCGAGGTTGTCAACCTTCTAACAAAAAAACAAACCAAAGAAAAACAAAAAAAAAACAAAAAAAACAAAAAAAAAAACAAAAAAAAAAACAAAAAAAAAAACAAAAAAAAAACAAATAAAAAAACAAACTGGATATCATTAACCGAGGAGATTTAAGATTAAACCTCACTAAATTGATGCCAAATATTGAAATTTTATTAGCAGCAGCAGCAGGTTCATCCCTCCCGTTAAAAAGCGTTTATTTTGTACTCATTGATTTCATGTTATACATAGGAACTTAATTTTATTTTGGTTTGTTTTAATTTCAGTTTCATTAATAAATATATAAAAATTAATGTTTCTATTGTTTTTTTTTTTTCTATATATTTTAATTATTATTTTTTCTGTTTACATGTTAACATTTTAACTAGCCTGATAAAAAATTTATTTTTGTAAAATTTTCAAAGGTGAATAACAATATTACTATATTAATAATTATTTCTTTTTTTATACTAGCAGTATTATTATCCTCAAAACATGACCCCTCATCTTTAAACCAATTCAAACCAGCTGATATTTAACTAAAAATAGAAAAGGAAAATAAACAACATTGACGCACATGCTACAACTAAATACTATGTTTTCCTAGTCGAATTGAACGCTTTGTAAACACTTTGTAAACTACTTACATAAGCAATAACGAATTTGTATTATTTACAGTGGAAAGTCTATAATTCAAAGGGCATAAAAAGAATAAATGAGAGTAAATCATCATTCGTTTAGATTTACCAATAAAGAAAGGGAAAAATTATTATCAATAACTATAAAATAATAAGGAGATATCACACTACGATACAGGTAAAATGGAAAATACAAATAAAGAAAAATGAAAAGAACTTAAAAATACTTAAGATATAAAAAAAATGCATTGGTTATTGTTGTAAAATATATTTTTAAACCAGTCTGGCTCTATGGAATCTAACTCTGTGGATGTGCAGCAAAGTGCAGTATAGACAGAATTCAAATATTTCAAAACAAAGTGCTTTGAGATATTGCAGATGCACCATGGTATTATAAAAATGATTACAATCGCAGAGATTTGAAGATACTGATCATCAAAGAAGAGATCAAGAGATTTGCAAGGATACATGAAAGAAGCAAAGGTCCTACGAATCCTAAATAATGCAGCCCTAAAAGGAAGACTTAACAAAGTGTAGTTACTGTAGGTGAATTAGGTTAGGTCAGGAGTTAGAGCGTGAGAGGAGCAGATTTTTTTAGGGCGTTTTTAAGTGTCACTAAACGTGCATAACTGTCACTGATTAGGATAAACGAACGCTAAAAGGGTCGTTTATAGTAAAAATAGTTAATGAAGTGAATAAAGCTTGTTTAAACGATCGCGGCTTGTGTTAGAGCAGAGCTGAGCGAAACACAGCAGAATTATGTGTTCATTTGATAGCACTATTAAGGAATGAAAACAAAATTGTAGGCTAGTCGCCGCCAAATCGTAACAATAAATTTAAACAGAGAGAAAAAAAAGCAGAAATGAAATAAAAACAATCGAACTTACTTGTCAGCCCTGGTTCCTCATCTGAAAACGTCAAAAAGCCCTTATTCATATCCTCTGTTCTAGGCGCGAAAATAGTGCTGGTAGCACTGATCGGTCTCGAAGATCCTTCGACTTCTTTCAAATTCCCAAACAGCTTCCTGGTACTAGAAATCGGTCGTTTAACCTCTATTTTCGGTTTCACTTCATTGTTGTTAGGTTCCTTCGTATCAGAAATGATTATTTCTGGAATTACAGCTTCGGGTTTAGATTTATTTTCCGTTTTCACCACTAAATATTGTGACGATGAGTATATTTCATCCTTACATTCCAGTCCGCTAAAAAAATAAATTAAACTCGTTGTTTACTACATTCAAACTCGATTCTACAATAATAGGTACAGTACTTCTATTAGATACGTAATTAACGAATAACTAGTGCAGTAATGAAAACAAGTAATGTTTGAGTCGATAGATAACATTGAACTAAATAAATAATTTAGTTAGGTTTATACGATGATTTTTTTTAGTAGTCTGTCAGTACATCGACCGCGTGATGGTTCTAATACACACTGAGGGATTATTTTAAATGAAATCTTATTATAGCACGTGAATTTATTGCGCGTATGACGGTTGCTACTTTAATTTGGATAACAACGAATGATTATTATGTAATATTGGATGATTATAACGGAGAACGTTGAGCTATACGGTTGTGCTCTGCTGTCTCGTAGGTTTGGGTGTGAAAGAGATAAATGGGTATTTTAAATACTCGTAAGATTATGATTTTTCAAATATAGATAGTACAGGGTGTCCCAATGAAAATTTACTGAAACTATTATCATTATTTTGAATTATATAAAAAGCGCGCGCGTGCAAAGTATTATTGAGTTATAAATAGAAATACAGGGTGTAATAAAAAGGTAGAAAATAAATTCTGGCCGTCTATTCTCGAGATTGACCGATCACATCCTATAGCGGTTCTTTTAACTTGATTTGTATAGTATTTCTAGTCGATAATTTGACCAAAAGTGAACAATAGATAGTTTAAATTATTTATTTAACCTACTAGTTAAGCATTGAATACATTTAGTAATATTTGCTAAATGTCCGTTTAAAAATATTACCAATACGATTATGAACATTTAAAAAAAATATTTCTTAATAATTGGAAAATTCAATTTTTAGATGTGTAGTGAATGCGCCATGCATTAGCTAAAATATGTATTTATAGGAATCTATGATGAGTTTTTATTTAATACTCAATGTCGAAATATCAATATAAATTATGAATTTTTAGAATTTGTATACGTAAATTAAATCATGTTAAAAATAAATTTGATCGTATGTTAGATCTCATTTTTTATACCGAACACTGTGAAGTTGTAAGATCAGATAAAATTATTGTAGAAGAAGACGCCTATCATCCTGCACTTAATTTAAATACAGTGTGTAACAATCAAATGAAATAAATTCAATAGCTCAGTTACTGTGCATATTCATAAAAAATTCGAAACACATCAATTTTAGATTATAAAATGACATCCTGCAACGTGAAAATTTGGCCCCCTTTCGAGTGACAGTTGAAACCCCCAAAGTAAATAAGAAAGGTCTGTAATACCTCATTTAAAAGGTCTATTCATTCTGTATTAAAAAATGCGATGATTTTTAAAGAACTCCGAACAAATCTTATCGAATTTGGCTCCCGGTCAAATTAGCTGAAATTTGGATATGTTGTTCGTTTCGGCACCTGAGCAAAAGTCTCAATGGACACAAAGCTCAATTTTGCTTATTTCTGCTCCTACGGAGCTCCACAGTTCCACGGATTGACCATTATTTACTACTTAAAATGGCAATTTTCTCGAAAGTTTAGTATTTGCTGCGTTAAAAAAGAAGTACCTTCTTATGTTTTCGGTGTCGCTGCATTCAAATCCAATGCCAATATAATAATATTGACAGTTGACAGCTGTCGACTGTCAATATCGAGTTGTTAACATCAGTTTTGAACTCAGCTGCCTCAAAAACATATATTTACATCTGGATTTTATTAATTTTGATTGTCACATGCTGTTTGACAGTTAGTTGACAGCTGATCACTGTCAATATCGTCTTTTTGAGATCAATTTTGAACTCAGCAACCTCGAAGACATCTATTTACTGCTGAATTTTGTCAATTTTGATTGTTACATACTGTTTGACAGTTAGTTGACATCTGTCAACTGTCAATATCGAGTTGTTAACATCAGTTTTGGACTTACTAACCTCAAAAACAGATATTTACATGTAGATTTTATCAATTTTGATTATTGCTTGTTGTTTGACAGCTAAAACACCTTAAAGAATTAATAACGTAGAGTTTCGTTCTTGATAATGAGAAAGCAAGCAAAAACAATTTCAATGGCATTTTTCGTCGGCATTAACAAAAAAAAAAAAAGACAAATAGCTATCGAACATTCTTGGCACTCTTAATTTCGTTTAAAAAGCCTTAGCAACTTGCTGCGTGATTGTAACTGCATGGCATTAACTGCTGTCTCAGTGTTTGAATTTATTAACTACAGATCAGAAACTTTGTTTATTTAACAGAAATAAATATTTTACAAATGATTGGTTACGAATATAAAACACAAAGACAGATCGAAGTTGTTCGCCTATTTCAAGAAAACATTCTCAATTTGACGCATATATCTCAAGGACAATTAGTAAAATAATTGAAAAGAACTTGGCAGATAAAAAACCTTTGAATTTACTGAGGAGAAACCACATACTTCTTGTCGATAAGCAGACGCAATATTAGATGGTATTAGCCATACATCGATCACTCGAATATTAAAAGAAAATAAAATGCTAGAAGAACGTAAATTTGTGAGCAAATGATGGAACTGTTAGATAACAATGTTATCCAACTAGAACATGTATTTTCTGATGAATGCACTTTTAGCTTCATGGCCATACTAATCTGTCAAAATTGTCGCTACTGATCACTGGATGGTCGATGAGAGAAGAACATATTCAATAACATGAAAAGCAAATGTATATCATAGTCAAGCAAACCCACAAGTTTCAGCGAATGAGACATGGTTCCAGCAAGATGGAGCCACCACCACAAACAAATATTTCGAGGTGATGATCGATAGAATGGCCAGCACAATCTCCTGATTTTACGCCATTAGACTTTATTCTTATGGGTCCAACACATGACTTTCATGTCTAGTTATTACAGGCTTTTTCAGGTTATTTTGTACAACCTATTATATTACTCCTGTAAATGTTTAGAGGATTAACTAAATATATACATTTTCCACACAAACACACATATCTTTCTCGAAATATTTTTTTAACTACATTCATTGCCAAGGAAAATAAAAAAAAAATTAAAGTTGTACACTTTTCCTCAAATTATTCCATTCCCGTTCATTTTAGAAAAATAATGAAAAAAAAAATATATAAAGAATGATATCATAAAACTTTTATTTAAACAATTTTCTCAAAAATTCGAATTTTGCATTTTTTGTCAAATTTCTCGAATATGGACCATTTTAGAAAAATTATGTATAAGACAAAAATTATAGAAAATATTATTACAAGCAACTTTTATTCAAAGAAATTTCTTCTCCAATCATAAATAACATATTCCATAAAATAGAAAAACGACCCCCTATAAAATAGGCCGGAATAAGCTTAAATTTAAAGTTTGGTGTTTTTATTTGTATCCGTTCGTGAGTTATCGAGTACAGACAAACAGACACATATACATCATCGCGAAAATAGTCAAAACCAATTCAGGGGACCCCAAAACGACTGAAACTCGAGGTCGAAAAAATCATGATTACTATACTTTCCTATTTCTATCAACAGAAAAAAAGTAAAAATTACCACCATTTTGCATTATTAAAAACTTGATCATTGCTAACCTCTTCATCCGTTTTGAATTTGAAATATGTGAATGATAATATTAATTGAAATTAAGAGGTCGTTTCGTGTTGTTTATTTAATATAATAAAGAAGTTTTTAAAAAATTTAAGAAGAGAAAAGTGACACTTTTTTTTAATAAAATCAATTAAATAGCAGTTTGTGCAAAAAGAGTGGATATGATGACCATATCGCACGAAGACGAAATTTGAACACGACGCCGTAGGCGGAGTGGTCAATCGTCTGAGAGCGATGTGGACAATCCACTCGAGTTGTACAGAATATTTTTTCTACGACCCACTAACGAAGTTTACAAATAAAAAAAATATTTTAGGTTATTAAGACAAAATAACTAATTTTAAAATAATTTATGAATTTTAATAATTTTTAAAATAAAATTAAACGAAAAAAGAAAAAAGTTCATTTCATTTTTCCCCATCCGAGAATCGAACTCGAGTCATCCATGTGGAAGGCAAGAACCACAGGACCAGCTATGCGCTTATTTTTTTTTACTTTAATACTCATAATTAAATTGACTTCATATAGTTTTATTTAAATTAACAAATTATTTATAATTATAGACGAAATAAAAATATAAATTCTATTATTTATCGATTCTACACAATAATAACTCATTTTAATGTATGTTTAATCGCAATAACTAAAAAATATACTGACAATTAGTTTGACAGAATTGTCACTTCAACATTAACCAAAGAACTGAATGATGACTGAAAAAATAGCTCGTTTTATTTTTATACGAAAGAAATACAAATTTTTCTAAAAGAGTCAGTAAAAAAAATTAAAAATGTATATTTCCATGATAGACCAATTGATTGGAGTCAAGAAACGAATTTTAAAGAAGTAATTAGATACTTATGTTTTTCCGACGAACAATATAAAATTAATTTTTAGGTATATGAAGATGCAGTTGTTGGATTCCAAATGCATCGTGCGGCAAAATTGATTTCAGAATATAACAAGTATCCTGTATATTAGTGTATATTACTATAAATTTACCTACCCAGGACGTTATAGTTTTGCATATAAAGATGGTACAAATAATACGATACCATATGGCAAGTTTAAAATATTTTTAGATGTGTTAGATTATTTTCCATAGAGACTAGAATTTTTTTTATTTTAGGTGTAGTTCACCATGATGATTTAATTTATTTATTCTACAATTCAAAGTTGTTTCCATTATTTAAGGAACACAGCCCAAAAGAAATTGAAATGGTAGAGAAACTAACTATGCTGTATGCCAACTTTGCAAGGACAGGGTAAGAAGAAAAAAATTAAATAAATAGTATACAGAGTGGCTTGAAAGGTATTTAAAAAACATATTACCTATTCCTTATATCAAAATACTCCGATTTAAGTAAACTTATCTTAGTACGAAGTCGCTCAGTTTGGGCGCTAGACAGTCC